CCTTTTTTTTTTTTTTTTTTGAGTGGGAATATTGAAGCTAGCATGTCATTGTTATTCTGACTTTTCGCACTCTCTTAAAAGAGAGAGAAGGCCCAAAAGCTTGTGATAATGTGTAGCCCCATGCCACTTTTAAACCCCCTCTTTAAAATATACTAGTATCGTACCCGCGCGATGCGCGGAAAGTGTTAGAGAAAGTATGTATAAAATATTATTGTGTTATTTTAAAAGCTAAATATAAATATNAGTAGACTACATCGTGGGTTAGACAGTTGCAGAGACAATTTAGGGTTAATTGAAGATCAAATTTGTTAACCTATTTTTGTGGAGTAAAACGTTTTCCCACACGTTCAATTAATTTCATTTGTTAATAATTAAAAAAAAAATATAAAATGAGATATGTAAAAGGAAATTTGAACGGTTTTTTCCTTTAAGAATAATTAATACAAATATAAAATAAAATCAATATATGTAAAAGGAAGTTTGAACGATTTAGGTTGACAACCCACGTTCATTTAATGATTTTAAAGTATTTTAAATTAAAAAATAGAGAAGAAGGTTTACATTTTCTGAAGTGAACGGTTTCGGAAGATTTATTTCCAAATATTTTCCCAGATTTTGTGAACTGAACAGTTTCGGAGTTTTTTTCCAAAAATTTTCACTGATTTTGTGAACTGAACGGTTTCGAAAAATTTTTATCCAAAAATTTTCACTAAATAACCTGTATTTACAAACCTATTAAAAGTTAAATTATATTTCCTTATTAGTGTGCTTCCTAATATGTAGGAGAATTGTCTTAATGTAACATGTGTCGTGATAGGATTTTCCCATTTGGCTTCATGAGAGGCTTTTATCCCTTGCTTTTAATTATATATAGATTTATAGTTTATAATATATTTAAAGATTAGCTAATTTTGTTCACACTTCAGGGATGCGATGTTCTAGAGATGCGATGTTCTAAACTTTAAACCTGAAAGTTCAAACATCAAGACATCGTGTTCTAAAGTTAAAAAATTGTATTCAGAAGTTCAAATCTTATGTCTTAAATATTAAATTAGTAGTTCAGAAATTCAGTAGTTCAAAAATTCAGGACTAAAATTAGGCATTGGTTAATTTTAAATACATTATAAATTACGAAAATATTTTAAATCATCAACGGAAGAAAAAGACTGACCAATCACTGTTCAAGAGAGACTCGGAAGACTCAGAATTTTTTGCTAGCTTGGGTCAAAGGAAAGAAGGGCCGAAGGAAAGAGGAAGACCAAACAATTATGTGTGTTTGACCTTGACTCTTAATTATTCCAGAGGATTCAGAAAAAGTATCTCGTACCTTCATGATATATAGCACTCAAACTATCCCCTAAAGTTACCTAGAAATTTCTGGCAACATTCTCGAATCATGGCATCCTCGCTGGTACCTGCTATAAATACATAACCAATTACAATTGAAGCATAAGCAAGCATTTTCAATTGAAGCATTTTATCAAACACATTCTATACAGAGTCTTCAGACAACCTGAGCAATCAACATGGATTTCGCCAACTTCGGCATCGACTTTAGGCTTCTCTCCACTCTCCAAGACATGCTAGATTTTGCAGACGATCACGAAAAGCCAACACAGAACAACCCAACAAGAGCCTACGTTCGAGATGCAAAAGCCATGGCAGCAACACCAGCGGACGTGAAAGAGTATCCCAACTGCTACATATTCATCGTTGACATGCCGGGGATCAAAGCCAATGAAATAAAAGTTCAAGTTGAAGATGAGAATGTATTGGTGGTGAGTGGAGATAGGAAGAAGGACAAGGAAAAGGACGAGAAAGAAGGAGTGAAGTACTTGAGAATGGAGAGAAGAGTTGGGAAATTTATGAGGAAATTTGTTTTGCCTGAGAATGCAAATATTAATACCATTTCTGCTGTTTGTCAAGATGGGGTGCTTCGAGTCACTGTTGAGAAATTGCCACCGCCCGAGCCTAAGAAACCAAAGACTGTTGAAGTCAAGCTTGCCTAAAGACAAATTAAGTTTGCTTCGATGAGGTTTGATTTGGAACTTCGATGAGGTGCTTATGATGTATTTTGAACTGTTTTGTGCTGTGTGTACCCTTTTGGTCTATGAACTGTTAACATGATCATGAATAAATTTCTTTGAGTTTACGGGAGCTTTTGCATTTACTGGAGAAAAATTGAAGTCACTAACATGTAAAAGGAACAATTCTTTAGTATATTTCCTAAAGTTTTTACACGGTCTTGTTTAAATTGAGACAAACAATTGCTTGTGTTTGCTTGTACAAACGGAACATTCTATGCTCGGCGCTCAGTATCTTAACACTAGTGTGATATATAAATCATACTAATGCAAACGTTAGGGAATATTTCTGACGTTGTGTCCTTTCTATCCTTTCTATACAGTAAGCAAGGCGACTGTCTGAAGTTACTGATACTATTTTGGTTTAGGTACTGACCAAGAACGAATTGAAAAGGACACATTTTTTATCATTTTCCTTGACTCACTCTATCAAAACGGAATTTAAAATGTAAATTTAACTTATGCATGGTCCAAATAATGGCGAGTAATGTTAGTTTAACTGAGAGGATATTATATCTTAATCGGTTGGTTGTGTAAGCTAGAATTTTTTAAACTTTTAGAAGTAATAAAAGATAATATTACCAATGAAATAAAGCGCTGAGGACATCCCGAATTAAAGAAAAGACGGGAATTCATTTGAGTCTGAATAAGCAGTGAAGAATGTGGTTCAATTTGATACCATAACAGTGTCGGTAATGGCTCCCTGGCCACTTTGATACATGAACTTTGATTTTCCCATTTTAACACCTCTACTTTGAGAAAAAATGTCTCTACTAATAACCACTTGTCATGGTGCGTGTTGTTCAATTACTGCTGATATGGATTTAATTTAATATTTTGTATAGCCACATCTTCTATTCATTCACATTTGTGGACACCTGTATGTTCAAGGTCCCACTTCTTTTTATTATTTTTATTTTTTTTGTCAAACTAATTTTTTCGGCACATAACCCTTCCACTCCCTCAGAAACCGCCAGAAAAAACATTCTCGAATTGGAAAACGACCTGAAAACCTCCAGATTTTACTAGTCAGATATTTCAGGCGATTGTTTTTTTCTCTCTCCCACCTGATACCTTTCACTTCCACTGTTTTATCATCTTCTCACCTACAAAATAAGAATAATATGCAAAACCTTCAAGTCCAACCTTTTACCATCAAAAATCATAGAGAAAAAATCACAAACTCGGAGGCAAAAATCACCACCTCCAAAAATCAGAGAGAAAAATGAGGAAGCGGCGAATAACTTTTACCATGATTGAAATCAGACTCGATTTTTTCAAGTAAATCAGCAAAGAATTTCAACAAATCAAAAAGCAGCGAACACTGTTGCTTTTCAATTTCTTATCACCCATTCTTACTCCAAAAATCAGTCCCGTTCTCTTCCATCGTCCTTGATCCGATGAATTTATTTATGATAATGGACGTCGACTTTTCTCTAATATGGAGTTTTTAAGTGTAATTGATGGTTAAAAATTGAAGAATAGTCAAATATGTAGTAGAATATGGAGCTTTTGAGTTTGATTTATCAAAATTTTGCTTATGGCTTTACTTAAGAATAAACAGAGAAAAGGCGGGAAAGGAAGAAGAATTAAATGGAGGGGGTGGGGAGATAGGGGCGACAATTAAGGAAGGGGAGAGGGAAAAGGGAAATGGGTGAAGAAAAGAAAGGGGTAGAGAGTAAGTGTAATACCGGGATGGAATAAATAAAGCTGAATTTGTCTTTCTATTTTTTAAATTAATTATTTATCTTCTTTGTGATTATTTATCGTATTCATACGCTTAATACCTATGATTAACACGCAATTGGTCACATCATCTATAATATTGACACATAAGCATAGTCAACGGTCAAAGGTATTTATTAGTAAACATTTTCTCAAGTAGAGATGTTCAAATGAGTATATTCAAAATTCATGTATCGGCTTTCAAAAGCCCTACAAATTTTAGTGGCCACGAAGCCATTACGCCTTAAATACATATTGCATTTCGTTATACCTAAAATTAAGGAGTTTGAATGCTCAGTTTTATCCATCAAAGAAATTAGGAATTATTACATTCCTATACACTATATGAAACTATATTATTCTCCCTACTCAAATTTTACTATAATTACATTTTATATACCCAATTATCATTTATATACATTTTAAGGGAATTAATGATAATAATTAGTGTATTAAAATAACTCTAATGTATCTCCCACTCCCCCCACGTTTCTCTCTCCACATCCCACCCCCTCCACCACGTATCTTGCACTCACCCACGATTCCACCATTGACAACCATTAAAAAGCTTTGAAGCTTTGAATTCAAATTTGAATTTTCAAAAAATATTATTTGTTTGAATTGGGTGTTTTTGCAAAGAATTGAGAATTCTCTCTACGTCTTTCTCTATCTCTCAATCCCTAATTTCAGTAATGTAAAGCAAAGGAAAAGAGATCAGCAATTCCACCATTGACAACCGTTAAAAAGCTTTGAAGCTTTGAATTCGAATTTGGATTTTCAAAAACCACTATTTGTTTGGATTTGGGTGTTGTTGCAAACAACTAGGAATATGGTTTGGAGTTTATATCTCAATTTTGAAGGTGTTTTGGTGAAGATTAGAGTTGATTTTGGTCTCGAAGAAGAAGATGAAGACATGATATACATTATATTTTCGAAATTGTAGTAAAATAGTATATATATATATATATATATATATATATATATATATATATATATATATATATATATATATATATATATATATATAACACTATTGTATGAAAGTTGAACAATATTGTATAAAAATTATATTTAAGTTGTATAATATTATAGTTGTATATAACTGAGTAGAATGTATGAAAATTGTAGATAAGTTGTATAATATATAATTAGTTGTATGAAATTTATTTTTACTATGTATAAATTAGATACAAAATATAGAAAAGACATATTGTATAGATTTTGTATAAAATTTGTATTTAAGTTGTATGTTATTGTAGTTGTATTTAACTGGGTAGAAATAATGTGCGAAAGTTGTAGATAAGTTGTATAATATATAATTAGTTGTATGAAATTTATTTTTACTATGTATAAATTAGATAAAAAAATAAATAAAAGACATATTGTATAAATTTGTATTTAACTGGTATGAAATTGTAGTTGTATATAACTATTGAAATACCGTCAAAATAACCCAAAATTCCAGCTCCTCCGTTGCTGCTAATAAGTATCCTTCTCTTGCCATCTCCCCATTTGATCATACAAATACAAACCCGATAATGATAATACCCTCCAATTCACTGAAAATTCTAAAAACCACTTCCCAAAAGAACCTCCACCAAAGACCGCCACACTAAAGTTGACGGCAGTTTACTCGAGATATTGGGAGAAAGAGAGAAGCTGGAGAGAAGAGGGGAGACGGGAGAGAAAAAAGAAAAAGGGTGTAACTAAATCCCTTGATTGAAGGCACAAATAATGGATTGAGAACTTTTTAAGGTGGATTGCATATATTTTGTAAACAAAACTTGTTTATGCCGGGTAATTAACTAAGCATGGATATTA